GTGAAACCGTATCCTTTGCTTTACATTCCTTCAAATAACGTTTCACTTTTTGCAGAGGTTCCACTGTGTCATAATTAGTTCCAATATTGACACATGTATTATCAAGCCACCTCACGAAAAGAGTTTCTTCATTGGTATCAAATCTGGAGCTGCATGTTCCTCTTTTTTGCTTTTTCATTTCTTTTGTTTCCCTCAAAGTACATTTTTTCAGCCTGTTCTTGCGCATAGTTCCAGTTGCTTGAAAGCCGAGCTCGCGAAGATGAACCAGTAACTCATATCCAGTAAATAGGTTGTCAAAGAAAACACTATGTGATTGCAGTTCTTCTACGACATCTAGCATGTTCAATACAACTTTTGATCCAAGCATTAAGTCTGCGCGGTTATCATCGGATGAGCTCTTGCCGCAATAGAGATCGAAATTGTAACAGTAGACAAAAACGCCGCACAATGCCCAAAATTTGTATCCAAACCGAATAGGCTTACCCCTAATGAATTGCTTTAAGGCGTGATGGCCATAATATTTTGCTATCATCTCATCGACGCCCAGGTGTTTTTCAAATAAACCAAACTTCACGAATGACTTTTGAGCAGCAGAAATCAGTTTTCTTACTTTGAAGCCTCTGTCATTCTTATTGTTTTCGACTTCACTATCGTCACAGAAAAGTAGGATGCTTTTCATATCTTGGAATTTAGATTTAGAGATTGCATTTTTTACGATTTGCAAGCCCAAATCTTCATTGTTTGACCAGTATTGTGTTTCTGCAGGAAGATTATGATAACCGGATAGCAGTAACACTCCGACGAATAGTTTTATGTCGTCTGGGTCAATTGTAGTTATAGGCCTGTTCTTGTATTCTGTGGCATATCTAACACTTTCTTTGGCCATGAGCTGTACTATTTCTACAGAAAAAATTTCTTCAAATACTTCAACTGGACTTGACCCTTTCAATTGTTCTTTCATTTTCATCAAGCTATTTTCATAAGCATTACTGCAAACATGAACTCTTGTATATTATGGTGCTTTACTACGCCATGTTGGTACTGAATTGCTGAGCTTTCTTTTTTTTGGTGCTTGCCGTGTTTCAGCTCTAACTTCCGGAGTTTCTCCTGTTTCAATATCATTTACGTCGTCATTGATAATTTGTGCAGCGACATGTAATTCTAGTGCTCCAGCTACGTCATCGACGTCAACATTTCCAGTACAGTCATCATCAATATCTTCATTGTCACTTAGTGTATCAGATTCTGGTGGGATGATAACAGCATCTGCTCTTTCCACATCTGCATCTTCTATAAATTCTTCAAGTGTTGTCAAAATTTCTTCCACAGTTAGTGATGTGACGCGCCTTTTAGACATCTGTAGGGCAAAGAAGTAATTTTTTATGTACATGTATGAAAAAATAACCATTAAATTTACAATAAATAAATACTCAATACAAAAAATCTAGATTATTCATGCTTTATACATTTGACAATGCATATATGTAATAGTTTTCATATGTACATCACACTAACATCATATATTATCTTACTAAGAAGTAGACGAGTCCATATCCATCATCAACAACAATGCTCTTTAATTGAATGACAATCTACAAACTGACACGATGCTTATAAAGGCTTCAAATTTGGCAGGTTTCAACATATCTGTACAAGCACCCACGCTCAGCTATCCGGTGAGAAACAGTAAACGTGTTTTGACCTGTGAAGTCACTTCCTCTCAATGATCTCACTTCCTCCCAATAATCTCATACGAGATCAGCAACTTTTAAAGCCTGCTATTCCTATAATATTACATCTACTGGTGTTTTCAAGCATTCAAATGTTTTATGTATGTT